ATTTTATCTTAAAAAAATAAAATTCTTTAATTTCGCCATAGTTGTCTCTCAATCTTTTTTTACATTCGCTCTAATCATGACTTTTTTCACCTCTTGATAATACTTCTCCACACTCCAATGGATGTTGAAAGGATTTATGGTAAATGTGTCATCCTAGTGCAACCCCGTGATGGCAAAAAGAAAGCTGATTACTCGTCGATCAAATTGGCATGGTTACCAACGAAAGGTTGGATCAAGTGGTAAGCGACTTGTTCCAACTTAAGTAAGGTCTTGAGTTTGAAACCTTGTGAATGCAGCAGTTCTCGCTGAAAGACTCACCCACCATTTTCAGGTGTGCGACGCGGGTCGGGTTTGGATTAGTCGGGACGAAACCCCGGATAGCGGACGAAAAACTGAAAAAAAAAAAAAAAATGGCATGGTCGCTTTAATAACAAGTGTCCAACATGCATTGGAACGATATGGGATGAACAAGTACTTACTATCATATTTTATTAGAAAAGATATATAAAGTGAATTATATATTAAAGATCTAATTTATATTATAAATTTATTTAAATATGTTTAATAAAAATATTTTTCATATTATTTTATTAAAATTATTTAATAAATTTATAAGATAAATTATATTTTAATGTATAATCTATTTTTTAAAATTTAAATATCGTTTTTATATGTAAACTTTTATATAATATATTATTAATGAGGGAAAAAATAAGACATTTTGCTGAATTATAATGTTAAAATTAATAATAAAAATGTAAAGTGTAATGATTTAGTTCATTATTAATATTATTTGCTTTAGTTCTTTAAGATTTATATATTTAAAATGTGTCAATGAAGATTAAGTTTAAATTTTTGAATGGCAAAAACCTTTAACTCTTAAACTTATCTCAAAATATCATTTAAACTTTAAACTAAAAATGAAATAGATAAATTCTCTATCTTCATTAATAATGTAAATAAGCTCTTTTCACTTATGAGTATTCATGCTTTTCAAGGTAATATTAAGCATAAAATACCATTTGACTCGCACCTGGGCCTAGAGGCCCACTGGCATTAGTCAACTTGCTAGGTGCATTCCCCCCTCCCCCCTCCCCTGAAACCCGCCCCGTGTCAAAATGTTCAAAAAAAAAAATACCATTTGACTCTTTTGTGAAAAGAATTTATTGTTAGTGGAATCAAAGGATTTATCTACATTTGACTCTTTTGTGAAAAGAATTTATTTGTATTGTTAGTGGAATCAAAGGATTTATCTACTTTGTTTTTACTTTAGAAGTTTAAATATTATTTTGAGATAAATTTAAGAACTTAAAGAAGGATTTTTGCCTTTTTGAATCATATTATGACAGACACCAAATGGGGTTTGGATTGAAATGGAGAGGTTGGATTCAAGAATGTCTTCACACAAGCAAGGCGTCGATTCTTGTGAACAATAGTGTAGCTGATAGCTCTCAATTAGTTGCAGGCTGAGACAATAGGATCCCCTATCCATAAGTTTTTTTTCTTCAAAATGTGGGAAAAAAAAATTTATTAATTGAGAATTATGTTAAGTACAATAAAACTAAAAAAAGTTACTTTAT